CCTCATCGGCTGTGGAACTGCAGAGGGGACACACGGCTGGGCATTCCAGCCCTTGTGCACCGAGCCTGCAACTCATCCCTCCCTCCCTTCTGCTGCAGGTCTGGGTCATCCCCCGGCAGAGTCGCTCCTGGCTGTGCACCCGAGGACCAAGAGATGCTCCTGCAACAGCTGGTTGGATAAGGAGTGCATCTACTTCTGTCACCTGGATATCATCTGGGTCAACACACCTGGGTGAGTGTAAACACAGTTTTTGGGGGCTGCTTGTTGATGAGTAGTGTCTGGACTTTCTGCTGGGGGATAGAGGGAGGTGGGAAAGGGTCCCAGTGCTCTGAGGCTCTTGGGGAGCATTGTGAGTTTAGTCTAGAAAGGGACAAGCTGTGCTGCTGCTCAGGAGTTTCAGTGTATCCCACAGGGATTGAAGTGTAAGCACAGGGTGCTGTATATCTTCCCAGACTCACCTTTTCTTGAGGTTTGTGCCTCTGCAGCACCAAGATGTGGTAGCTGTAAGGGAGAAAGTTTCTCTCCTCACTTGCAAACTGGCTGCTGCCTGCCAGTATTGTTAATAAGACAGTGGTGGGCTGGCACTCAGGGCCTGTGCTTGCCAAGTCCTGCCCTCAGGAATGCTAAAGCAGCTTTCCCAGCAGTTTCAGACCAATGACCATCACACTGGAGCACAGCACATGTACTCAGGTGTGGTTATAATCATGCTTGCTAACATGCAATTACAACTCGCTGCTTGCTCAGAGAATAGCTGCATTCACTGCCAATCCTAAACCCTCTGGGAGAGGAGATTGCCATCAGAGATGGAGCAGGGAATGTGCTAATAGCTCTGGAAGCTGCTGGGATCAGAAGAACCTGTTATAGCCCCAAGACATCTCCAGCTGTACTATGTCCTGTGTGTTCAAACCCATGGGGGAGGGAGAGCACTGACACCTCTGCGGTGCTGGAGGAACTGGTGGGGCTGCTGGACTGGGGCAGCTGTGCTTCTTGTGTGCAATTTTGCTGCCAGCTTGCCCAGCCCATATGGGCAACCCTTGCACAGGCACCTGGGCTGCTGCAAGGAGAGAAAACTCCACTTGGAAGCCAGCACATAGTGGCAATTTCCCTGGGAGGGGTAGGGTGGGGAAAACAGTAGGTGGGAGAGGAGCTGGAGTTTAAAGACTTAGACCTATCAGTGACCTTTTCACCTTCTGTCTGTAGATGAGTCTTTTATTATGCTGGCACTGGCTTGGCTGCCTCCCAGAACCGTGTTGTAAACTTGCTGGCTAATAAAAAGTGAGTGGCCTAGCTGAATTCCTTTGTTTTTCCCAGGCACACAGCTCCCTATGGCTTGGGAAACCCACCCAGGCGGCGCAGGAGATCGCTGGGCAGGTGTGAGTGCTCACGCTCCAGGGACACCTTCTGTGCCACCTTCTGCCAGCCAAAGCCTGGGTAAGTCCTGGGGATGTCCCTGGGGGTTGCTTGGAGAGGGGGCAGCAGGCAGACAGCACTTAGCAGCTGGAGGATCCCTGCATCCTCCCTGAGAACAGCTGGAACTTGCCTAGTGGCTTTCACTCCCCTCCCAAAGGCCCTGGCAGTGTCACTTGGGTGGTTTTGTTGGACAATAGTCTCTTTGCTAGCTGATATGGAGCAATGTTACCTCCATGCCTCGTGCTGCCAGGAGGCTGAGAAGTGCTGGGTGTGGTGGTGGGAAGGGAGAGCTGGGAATAGGGACAGGCAGAGGGGGAAGCTTTGGGACACCAGTGTCTCCTGCATGGCTTGGAGGGGAGAGGCTGTGGCAGGGCAGGACTGCTGTGACCTGGGACTCAGAAGCCAAATATCCTCTGGGGCCAACTCTGTGCACTCAGTTTTACTTCAGCAGCAGCATAGAGGAGTATCTTGAAAGGAGAAAAATCATTGTAGAGATCTGTCATTAATTCCACACCAAGGCAATAAAGCCCCAATCACTGATATGCCTGTGAATAGAACAGCTCTGACAGAAGCAAAAGTGAGCCATGAATAGCTCTCAAATAGCTGCAATTAACCCTTCAAACACATGCATTCAGCTGTCTGTCACTGGTGCAGCACCCCCTGTACTCCCCACAGCCTGCCTGGATGTGGGTGGTTCACACATCTCCTCTTGTTCATTAGGTACCTCCAGAGTCTGAAGCTCCCAGTGAGCTCTGGAGCATCCACAAGATCTCCACAGAGCATTGGCATGAAGCCTCTCCATCATGGCCTGCTGAGAGCTCTCAGGTAAGCATTGCCACCTAAACCCACCTTCAACATCCCTCATAAGCACTTGAAAATCCCTGGTTGTGCCCCCAGACTGCAGTTGCCACTTGGATTTGAGCTGATTTCCTCCTCCTGTCTCCCTTTAAATGAGAAGACTTGACTATTCTGCTCTCTGCAGCACTGAAAGCTCAGAGCTGAGGGAGTCAGGATTACTTGTGTCCTTCCAAAACCAGAGGAATATTACATACGTTGCAATTCTTGGTTGGGGTGGGAAGTTCCTCTGATATGAGTCAGGCAAATGGGTGATGTACAAGAAGTGGAGGGATGGGGGAGAGCATCATGTAGGAAAATGATTGATTGGGCAGCAAATTTGAACCAAAGGAAAGAGCTTTTTTTCCCATCAGTGAGTTGTGAAACTCAATGCTGAAAGAATCCATGACTCCAGGAGTGTAAATGAGTTAAAGGGAGTTGACAAGTTAATGAATTGGTGGCAGTTAAATCAGATACGATCTGAAAAACAGATCTGGGGAAGCATCACTTGGGTCATGCCCTCCTAGAGGACTCCTTAGAGCTGCCAGCAGTGGGTGTTTGGGCTCCATGGAGCTCCACTGTGGCTTAATACTGCTGTGTCTAGAAATTCCCTCTCTTCCTTGCCCCATCTTCTGCCTCACAGTCAGTCTTGGTAGCTCAGTATCCCAAAATGAGCTGTTGCTGAGAGGTAAATGGTCTGGAGAGTGAACATTGTCTCCCTTGTGTTGACAGGGATATTGCTGTGTCCAGACTGCAGTCCAGCAAGCAGCAGCAGCGATCCCAGAGGAGCCCACAGCCAACAGCTTTGCCTTGGAAGAAAAATATCTGGAAGAAGAAGAGATAAGAACCAGGTGCCATCCCAAGTTCACCAGAAGAATTTGGAGTCCTGTGGGTGCCACTAACTCCACTGTGGGTAGTTAGAGCTGAAGGAAAGGCCGTGAGTGGAAGGGGGAAGAAGTGGAAGTCTCCATGCTGCTGTTGCATGAACCAGTGCTGAACACACTCCAGAGACTGTTGTAAAGGGAAAACTCTCTATACAGTCACAGATGTGTCATGGAGCTGCACTGTGCCTTTTTGGATCAGGCAAGGGGCTTGCTGGAGGAGGACTAGCTTAACTCTGCTCTGGAGTGCTTTGCAGAGGGTCAGCCCATGCTGGGTGGTTGAATCACTCACAAACCAGGTGATTCTCTACAGTTCTGGATGTGGCAGCACTAAGCCTGTGTCACTGGCCTGGTCTGCTCTGCCTTGGAGATGTGTTTGAGCATGAGCCTCATTCAGAGGGGGTTGGACTGGTCACTGTGGTGAGGAAGAAGCTGCCTCCAGCCTGAGCCCAACTTTGCACTATTTCCTCTTGTCAGTCAGTGTGGGTGAATGAGATTGCCATGGTGAAACAGCTCCCAGTTGGTATTAAAGGTATAGAGCATCTAGAAGCCTGGAAGCCACCTGAGCAATCAGTGGCATTCACTGGCTGAGAAATCCTCTCAAGTGAGTTTTCACTGTAGTCCTTGAGTTGCTTACACCAGTGGTAAGCTAACCTCCAGAGGTGGAGGTTAGCTTACAGCAGCACTGGCCCCTGGCACTAGGCACAACTGCTGGGGTGGGAGGTTGATGTGGGACTATCTCTGCAGGAGCCTTGAGCCCTGGGTGGCTGTGTGGAGGGAGCCCCAGTGGGGTAGAGACAGAGCTGAGCTGCTGGTCTGGATGAGTTCAGGGCTGTGAATTCATCTCCTCTCCTTGGATATCTCCTCAGCACAGTTGAGTGCCTCCAGCTCTTTCCTTACCATCCCAGCTTTCCTTCAGCTCTGCCTGGAAGGAAAGGCTCAGGGCAGAGAGGTGGATGTGAGGAGATAGCATACCAAGGCTTGCTTGCTGCTTTGCTGAGATCAGGTCCCTGGGTTGGACTGTATGTAATAAATGATCCATCTATGGATAGCACATCCCTGTGAGAAGTGTAACCTGGACAGGGAATGTATGAGGCAAGGGGCAGCCAGGGGGGAATGATGTAGAGGGAAGGATTGGTAGGAAGAAGGGGTTGGAACTAGATGGTCTTTAAGGTCCCTTCCAGCCCACACCTCTCTGTGATGCCATAAGAGCACAGCACTGTCTGCACAGTTAGGAGAAAGCCTTGGAATGACACCCATGCCAGAACCACTTCCCAGCCATGGAGCACCCAGTGCTGCTGGCCCAGGGGAGGGAAGGAGAAACTGAGCACCTAGAAACCAATCCTGCAGGAAAGCACAACCTCAAGGCTCTGGAGCTGGATCTCAAATGCACTTTTGTTTGATGAGCTTGTGTTAGACACTGTGGCTGCAGCTCTCACCTGCTTAGTGCAGGGACAGAACTGCTCTCCTGAAACCACTGCTGGGTCCTTCTCTCTGCCCAGTGCAGTATTACCCAGAGCATTTCTAAGGGCTGCTTGAAGTTGGTGGAGGGACCAAAACCTGTGGCTGTTGCAAGTGTAGTCCAATTGGACATAAAATACTGCCTTGATTTTGCTTTAAGCCCTGGAGCAGGGAAAACTGAGACCAATTGATTGGATCAGAAATGAAACAGCAGATTAATCATTTGGTCCCTAAAGCTGCAGAGAAGCTGTTTGATATTTGACCTTCTGAAGGTTGGAGTCATTCTAAAAGATAATGAATTAAATCCTGCAAGGGTCTGTTCCAGAGGAAACTTTGCACATGGTTTAATGTGAGTAATTTAAAACTACTGCTGTAAAATACTATGTCTGTCTCCTGGTGTGGGTAATGTCTCATCCTGAAGTGACTTATTCACACTTGCCCATATGTAGCATCCTGAAATCTGTATATTTATTTAAATCTATTGATTTTTTTTTAGACAGTAACTTGCAAAATATAATTTGTAATAAATAATGATAAAAGTCAAGACTCTTTGTCTTCCTTATTTGGTGTCTTTGGGGTGAAATGAAAGAAATCCAGACAGCTAAAAGCACTGTGAAAGGAATGGGACAGCAGGGCTGGGTGGGAATGGGGAGGTTGGGGATGGTGCTGAGCAAATTTCAGTTCAAATTGAATCCATTTAGCTGAATTAAACATTCCTTGGCTTAAAGACTCCTTAAGCACCTTCTTCTTTAGCCACTGGAATGTGCTGCCCAGGGAGGTGGTGGAAGAGTTTAAGGACAGACTGGATGTGGCACTCAGTGCCATGGTCTAGTTGCATTGGAGGTGTTAGTTCATGGGTTGGACTTAATGATCTCAGGTCTTTCCCAATCTGATTGACCCTGTGATTCCTTCCTAGATGTCTGTGGGATGTGAAATTATTCCCAGGTGGTTGTGCTTAGAGCTGTGGATGCTGAGACCAGTTTAGATCCTTGTTGTGCCAAGGGATCCTACTAATGTTTTCCTGGGGTTGTATCCTTTGCCTCAAACCCTCTGCACAGCTCTGTGACTCTGGGTGTCAGCACTGCAGGGACAGAGCAGCCACACACCCTCTCCTGTGCCCATGGAGGTTTAAATCTGAGAATGGCTCAATGTTTTTACTGTTGTTATTAATTTTTGAGTGCAGTTAAAAGGGCATCAGCCAAGGGAAGGCCATGGGAGTGGCGAAGGGTCTAGTGGTGAAGTCGTACAAGGAGAACTGAGATCATTTGGTGTGTTCAGCTGGAGCAGAGGAGATGAGGGCAGAGCTCATCAGGGGCTGCAGCTCCTCCCGAGGGGCAGTGCAGGGGCAGCTCCATCTCTGCTCTCTGGGACCAGGGACAGGAGCCAGGGAATGGCTGGAGCTGTGTCAGGGCAGGGTTAGGCTGGAGATCAGGCAAAGGTTCTTCCCCCAGAGGTGTTTGGGCACTGAACAGCTCCCCAGGGCAGTGGTCACAGCCCCAAACCTGACAGAGCTCAAGAATATACTTCCCTGAGCTCATTGCCAGGTGGGCCATGGGCCTGGAGTCATTGCCCAGCACAGCTAACCAATACAACTTTCATCTATGTGATTATTTCATCTAACTGTGCCCATTTAAACCTGCTTCAGCTTCCACCTGCTCACAAGCCTCTTGCTATCACCTGAGCTGTGAAACCAAAATCACTAGAAGCCATTCCCATTGTAAATTCCACCAGTAAAAGCTCTGTGGTCCTGGTGGCCTCACATGTTTGAGACTCAGCCACATATTCATGTGCCCTTCGTCTTTCAGCTCTGGACTCGTCTGAAGTCACTAAACCATCAGGAACATCTTCCCTCACTTCCTCTGAGTCAGATTTCTCCCAGCTCAGTTTTCCTGCTGGGATTTAGCCAGTGCTAGAGGTAAAAAAGAGGATGAGGTCCAAAATGTGCAGAGTTGCCCTCTTGCAGGTTGTTAACTCAACCTTTCCCTCAGGGAGGGCAGTGCAGCTGTCTCAGCTTTGCAGGGCAAACTGCTGGAGAAGTGCTTTGGAGGGGAAAAGCTGTTTCCTTTGGACAAGGGAGTGGCTGTAAAGTCTCCTCAAAGGTCCTACAGAATTTGGATTTTCCAGCCTCTGGAGGCTCTCACAGCTCTTAGGTGTGTTGCCAGAACAATCCTGTCACAGGCAAGAAGTGACCCCAGAGTGCCTGAAGACCTTTCTGATCAGTCTTGTTTTTCTCCCCTGGGGAATGCAGCACTTGAGGAGTTTTCCCATCCATTCCCAGGGAAAGCTGCTCAGCTAGGTGTCCATGGCCTGTCCTCCAGGCTGCACCAGCTCTGCACTGGGCTGAGCTTCCAGATTGCTCCAGATGCACCTCAGGGATGACAACTTCAGCACAGACTCTCCAGCTGAGCCAGTGGCATCCTCCTGCCTTTCCTGGGGAAGGTTGTGCTGCTGGTGGGGCAGGAGGATGGGGCTCGATGATCTCTAAGCTCCATTTCAACCCCTTAACTGGGTCTAAAGGTGCCAAATCTTGTCTCAAGGTGCAGTATCCTTGGGTATGAAGGTTGTTGGCTTATCTGGTTGCCTGGAGCTGGCTGGAGTGAGAAACAGTGACTCTACAGGGGATGTCAGCTCCAAATTTCACACCTTTAGGCATAGGCTGTGAGGTCTCAGCTGCATCCCACAGCTTCAGGATCTCCTGGCTGGGACACAAGGAAAGCCACAGGCTTTGTCCCTCTTTGTCCAGGTCTAGGCATCACAGAAACCATAAAACAAAACTCCCTCAGGGAGGGCAGTGCAACTATCTCACCTTTGCAGAATGAAGTCTTGGAGAAGTGCTTGAGGAGGAAAAGCTGTTTGGACAAGGGAGTGGCTGTAAGGTCTCCCCAAAGGTCCTACAGAACTTGGATAGGTGAGAGACACACAGTTTCTCATAAACAAACAGGTGTGAGGCTGAGGAAAGGACTTCAAACAGGCTCCTGGGCAGCCTAACACTCCTGCTGAGTGCCAGAGGAAGGTGTGACAGAGGGAGATGTGCTGCACTCAGCAGTTTTATGCCAGCTCTGCCTGCCTCAGCTTTCCTTTGAATTCCTCCTAAAGGAAGTGATTAAGGGTTAAATGAGACCTTGTTCCAAAGGGAGAGATTTCAGTGCTTTATACTTCACCATTGCCTGGATCAGATAAGAGAGGCTGTGGTTGGTAACAGTGATACCTGGACCTGGACATGCTATTCAAAGAGCCTGTGGCTTTTTCTTGTGTCCAAGAGATCCTGCTGAGCACAGAGACCTCACAGCCTGTGCCTAAAGGTGTGAAGTTTGGAGCTTACATCCCCTGTAGAGCCACTGTTCCTCACTCCAGCCAGCTCCAGGCAACCAGACAAGCCAACAACCTTCATATCCAATGTTCAAAGCCAGGTTGGATAAAGTCTTGAGCAACTTGCTCTGATGGGAGGTGTCCCTGCCCAGGACAGGGGATTGGGACTAAATGATCTTTAACCTCCATCCTA